ACACAAACAAACACACACACCATTTTAATATAAGATAAAACTGACCAAAAGTATTAAAACAATTATAAATTTGTGTATAAATGTGATTAAATGCAGTAGAAATATTGAGTTATTGTTTAGTGTTAAATTGACTAAAAATTGAATGAAGTCTGGTGCGTTCTCTCATCACTGCTGTTCATTTTTCATTCATTCATGTCTTCCCAGTATCTGTTTGGTTTTGTTTATTAACAGGACATGACTTAGTGAGCCACTCCTGATGGAAAAAAAGCGGGGAGGAAGTGATGTCGTGAGTCAGCGAGGAATCGAAACGCGACCAACGGACGTGTCAGAGACTGGTTGGATGCCTTAAAAAAAACTTTGTGAATGAATGAGAGCCTCAGGGGAAAGAAAGAGAGAAGGGTGGGAAAGGTGTGTGTACAAAGCCGCTACACACGTCAGGACTAGCTCTGCTGCTGGCCATCATTTTGTTTTCACTCGCCTCGAAACCGTCTCCCTGTTTTCTCTCTCTACTGCTGTCACAAGAAAGCCTAACCCAACTTTAGTTTATTGGATTCTAGAAGAAGGTTGTTCTGTCATTCATCTTTAAGTTAATTAAAAAAAGAAAAATGAGATCATTCATATCCTTTGAGGATTTAAACAGGGTTGTACATGCCTTTATTTTTTTTCCAGTCTAGATGTATGTAAGGCCCTTTAGTCAGGTTTTACTCAGGCTTCAATTGGTCCAAAATGTTGCTGCTAGGATTATTACATTATTATAAAATAAGGTCACTAAAATTCTGGCATAGAGTTTTACCTTTGTGCTCCAATAACAGTTGAGCTAGCCTCAGTCAACTTCTCCCTTTTCCTGTACTTAGATATGCTACGTGCTAGGCAACCAAATGTACATATATATAAGTCACATAAATTAGCTAATATTAGCAAAATGATTTAGCTAACTAGACTTAATTTTCAAATGTAACAAGCCAGCTAAGGATTGGTTAGCTAGTGTTTTTTCTACCATTAGCTAGCTAACTTAAGATGTGAAGATGTTTAACCGTCTTGAAAATGTGGTTTTATAATGTTTACACATGTTCCCAAGGATGGTGGTTTGGTTTCTGAACACTATGTAAACCCTATTTAACTTTCTAATTGGATATAATGTTGTTTTTGCATCTTAACCTCAAAGAGCAGTGCGCTTTATTGTCTTAAATTTGACTGGTGGGTTAAAACTCTGAGTATTGTCTGCACGTATTCCTTTCAGACTGCAGCACTACTAAGGTAGCCCGTATGTGGCCTGACAGGAAAAACAGGGAGGTTGGGGGCAGCAGCTTTTCCCTTAAACTTCAAGCAAGTTTAGATAACAAGACGAAACCAGCCCGGTGCTGTTTATGTTGTTGTGCATTAACAGATGTAAGCTCATGTGTCAGTGTTGCAGTTGAGTAAAAGGTGGGCCTCAGTTAAAATGTCCTCAGAAACAATAACAGAGTCAAAGACAGCAGGGCCCTGTGTGCAGTTCCCTTTCAGCTCAGGAAACTCAGCCCTCATTCCCTCTCGCCTACACACACACAAACAAACTGAGCTCTTTCTTTTAAAAAACCCTCCGACACACACAATCAGTTAGAAAACAAATCTGATACTGTGAGCAGATAACTGATGAAAGACATTCAGTTTATCTGTGAAACTCGGTCGGTTTCATCAGGGTGACTCTGTGTGAGTCTTGCTTGAATAGTGTACTCCAGGGCTGCAAATTTTATGGCAAGCCATCCAATAGTTGTTGAGATATTTCAGTCATGGACTCACAACCCAATCAATTAGTATCTAATGAGGATTTACTGGCAGCTACGGCGTTAGCTACGGTCTAATGCTAGGTGCATGTGACGACAACAATGGCGGCTGCTAAAGAGGTTAGCGTAGCTGCTTCTAGCATCAGTGATATCAGAACTGGAGAGCACTTCGGTCACAGTTTGACTACATTATAAGGTCCATAGATCCGATCGGTTGACAGACGATTCATCCAATCATCATGGCTGCTGGCACGGCACAAAATATGCTGTGGTGGATATCTGCACAGAGAGTACAGACCGGCACGTTGGAGGAGCTGGCAGCTGATTACAGACAGTTCAAACACAGCAGACTGTTTCTGTAATGAGTGACAGGAGTGAGTGGTGTCTCTCAGTGTCTCTCAAACTGAGCTGAAAGATGTCTGTTTGATTTGACGTTCCAATGAGGCAGACCGCATTCCTGCTGTCTGCAGGAAAAGAACAAGACGAGCGGTTGGCGTTCAGCTCATCTGAACATCCTTAACAGATAACGTCCTCTCTCTCTCCCTCCCTCTCTCCTCCATTTTTTGTCGTGCGGTGGGGACGTTGTTTGCTTCCTGTGCTGCAAAGTTTTGTTAAACAACACAGTTTCCTACCAGGATGGATAAACGATGCGTGCCTACAGAACAAAAACAAAAAAAACATGCACACGCCATTTCCTACACAAACAGCGGCGTTTATAAGAATGTGTGTGTACCTCCAGATGGCCAGAAGTATGTGGATGCTCAACATTACATCTATAGCAAAGAGCTACAGCTAGCGTGTAGCACGAAAAGTACCGATGCATGGCCGAAAAGACACCAAATACTTGTTTTTAATATTAAAGATCCAGTTGCAAGTAATAAATCGAAAGCATCAGCATGTGTCGAATGAGTTTCGGTCTGTTTCCTCTCTGCTTGCTCACATTAAAACCAGGATCAGTGCTGAATATTTCAGCAAAAAGCAAAATAATTAGGCAGCGTAATGGGGATTATGAGGATTTTTACATGCTGACAGGTACGCTGCAGGAATTTCAAACTGTCTTTCAGCAGTTAAGATCATTCGTCGTTGGGCCTGTAGATCCTTCAGCACAAATTCCTCACGGCTGACTTCTCTGTGATTAAAACAGGTGGCATAAAAACAGGTTTTTTATTATTTTAATTACTGTCATAGACATGAATAGTTTGTGAATCATTTTCACGGCTGCAGCGATGATGACAGGTGATATGCAGCAGAGGTGGGGTTATTACTTTTATGTTTATAAACAAATTCATTTTATAATTAAAGGTTTCATTTCTTTAATCTTAAAGACTAAGCCTGGCTGAAGGATCGACTTTCCTGTAGTCCAAAATAAAGAGTACACAAACATTTTAGTGGTCGTCCCTGAATGGTATCATAGCCTGTGTGTCTAGATACATATCGGACCATCTTAGTGACCTTTCCCAGCAGCTGTAAGGATGCATAAATGTAATGAACACTGCTGCCTTTAGGGGGACAGCATGAGGAAGACAGTAAGAATACAGAAGTCTGTCTGATGAAGCTCGCTGCTTCCCCACCAAAATCAAATGATTCATCATCACAATGTAAACGAGGGTATTGAAGGATGTTTTCTGGGAGCTGCTCACACACACACACACACACACACACACACTGACAATGATCTCTACACGACACCTTTTTCATCTTTTCCACAGAGGCTACATTCCCGCTGTTCTAGCGTGTGTGAGTGAACTCAGTGAAAAGGCCTTTTTCTGGAAGTTGCCTCCGAAGCGACACACTCCACCGACCCTGTTTGCTTACTGTGTGTGTGAGTGTGTGACTGTGCGTCCAGACGTGACCTGTCTATTAAAGGACATTTCCACCGACTTTCACGCACACGCTGTGTGATCAGCAGTAGGCCCGTTGCCGCGGTAACCAGATGCTGGTCAGAGGTCGCTAAGAGTTTCCTTTACACAGTAAAAAAAGATTGTTTTTTTCACTCATTCCTTATCCATATTTATGTTGTTTTAAGTCTTTAAAACTTTATATTAATACATTTCAGCTTCAAAACATAACATAAAGTCATTGTTCTCTCTCTATTTTGTACAGTTTTAGTGTTCAGCAGGGGACCAATCACAGTTTATAGCCATGCTAACAGCTCTGTGAGGCTGCTGTTCATTCCAGATAAACAGTAAAATCTGTTTGTGAGCAGATTTGAGGAGAGAAATAGTCAACACAGTAACAGAATCTGGATCCATATTTGATCAGCACTGCCGTTTGACAGTTTTGAATTTCTGAGTTTTGGGTACGTTCATGTGACGGACTCATGAGAATGAGCTGTCAATCACAAGGTAGACCCGCCTAAAGCATACCCTGCTTGTATGGTCCTGTTTGACTCTAATGGGACATCAGTTACTAAATGAACATCATGCGGTATGGAAGAAGAATGAAAACTAGAGCGAGGACCATAAACTCATCAGGAAAACTGTTTTACTGAGCTCATAAATCAACGTGAGAAGTCGGCTCATTTCTCCAATAAGACTGAATGGTATCGGTGTGTTAGCTGCCCCCTGCTGGACATTACATAGAATGCAGGTTTAAGACATATATATTTAAGTAATTTTTGTACCTAAACCTAACCAACTGCGTTTCACAACCTTAATCACACAAGCTTTATTTTGAAAGTCTAACCTGTCTAAATGTCTGTGGCAGATACTTTTGAGACCAAAACCATAAAAGTCAACCACCTGGTGGCTCAGATCTTCCCCAAAATAATGATCAGAAATCGTCTCCTCATTATGGCTAACTGGACCAACCTGTGCCAATCAACCCAGCAGGTATTTCACAGGAAACTTTAACCTGTTGGTGGCGCTACAGGAATCGTCTATACCAAATTTCATGCTAATCCATTTTATAGCTGTTGAGATATTTCAGCCTGAACAGACATTTGCAGCCTCTATAAATATAATATAACAATAACTTCTCATTAAACAAAGAGAGATATCACAAATATCTTTCTCATTCTAAAGTTGAAAGCAGCACATCCGTCACTATGAACCAACAAGTCCCTAGAAAATTACATTTATACACCACTAATCTTTGTAAATACACCTGAGGAAGCGGTTTATTGCTCCTCTTTAAAGACGAATGTTTGAACGCCAGTCAATTAAAATCTTTGAGTGATTCCTGTCGGTTATTGCTGCTCTTCATAAGTCATAAAGCCTTAGATTTGTTCTTACAATGCTGTCTAATATTTGAGTGTTGACTAACGTACTGTCCATTTACAGCTAATACACACACACACACACACACACACACACACACAAACACAGTCTGTCGTCTGAATACAAAAGTGTGTGTGTGGAGTGTGTTTGACTCTGAATGGCTTTTGTTGATCTCTTTAGTCTCCATTTAGTCCTGCTTCCTGCCAGCAGGGAGGGGTCTGGTTGTGTGTGTGCGTGTGTGTGTGTGTGTGTGCGTTCACCTCGTTTCCATGCATGTTAGCCACATATTTGAACTCGGGGATGCCGACGGTGTGACGTCGAGGGCGGACACCCAGTGCCAACACCCACAACTGCTGACCTGAGAGAGACAAGAGGGTGAAAAAGAGGTTTTTATTTACATTTAAAGTTACATTTTGTGTTTTTAAAGAGGGAAAATATTTTTCAGAGTTGTTTTATAGTGAATACGAGACACTTTCAACTGGTTTTGGGACCACTTTTCCATTTCATTTTAGTGAATAGGTAAACAAATATTATATGTATTTTATATTTTTTACTGTGCAATGGACTGAATATTTCTTCATCTACATGGTTAGAAGAGTCTTTGAGGATTTTGTGCCTCACCTCAAACCTAAAATCAATATAAGAGCCGGTTTGAGCGACCCACTGAAGTCTTACTTCTTCTCAGCAGGAGGTGGAAATGCAGAAAACACATAATAATTAACCATTTTTGAAACGGGGTCAAGGTAACACTCATGTTTTTTTTACAGTGAGTCACGTAGCGGCAGCAGCCGTGTTTTCACAACGCTAAACCACTTGAGCAAAGTGTGTACTTGACTTAATTATGTCGAAACTCAACCGCGTGCATTCGTTTAAAAAGGCAACACAAATCCTAAACGCAGCACTTTGGTCTGGTGAACAATGCATCCCGGTTGCCACGAATGACGTCACCAAACAGCTGAGAGTGTATGAGGAACTGGATGAAAGAGCTTGTAAGGTAATCAGGTAAAACTGTTTAAAGTTTAAAGCTCCCGCCAGTCAGATATCAGTGTTTTTCTTCTTGTTCCTGCAGTCGGATGTTTGATCTGTGCACAACGATGCATGAAAACTGGCATATTCACAGATTCTGGTATTTTTTAACGAAGTAGAAGGTGCATTTTTAAGGATTTTAATGTGGAAATTATACTTATTTTGCAGGAAAAGACTCACATTATTGTTCCGAGATGATTATTTATATGTATGTCTTTAAAGGCGGCCTCTGATGAAGCAGGAGTTTATGTTTTTACTGAGCTCTGATGCTGATTTTTAGTGAGTAAAAGTTTCCACGTAAACATGACTACTGTAAGTGTTTTGAATGTCAGTACTGCAGATTGATGAATGAAGCTCCACAAGCTCACACACACACACATACACACACAGCAGTAAATCATGGTAAAGTGTGAACGAGTCATTGAAGCAACATAAGGGAATAATTGACGAGGCTGGCGAGACAGACAACACACACACACACACACACACACACAGGTTGGACGTCGGCCAGCTGGTGTCCTAGATTAGCACAGATTAGCTCTGTGTGTGTGTGTGTGTGTGTGTGTGAGTTATTAGCCAGATTAAGCCGCCCAAGATTAAATTAACCGGCGTTTACAGTCCCATTATATGATCACACAAACACCAACAGGCAACCTTGGCGCAGTCACCGTCACGGTTGACACCCGAAACTTTATCAGTCAACCATCAACCCCTGTGTGTGTGTGTGTTTCTGTCTCTCAATGTAGAATTTATACCTACCTACCTACCTACCTATAATAATAATAATAATACAGTAATCCCATTCAGTCTTATGGAGAA